GATTAATTAGGAGTGGCTTTCACGAACGCATCGCTATTGCGGGACAGAATATTAGTTTTCTGTTTAATGCCAGGGTTCCATCAGATGGCGTCCATTTGCTTTAAAACGCACTAGTTTTCCATCCTCAGTGATCTTATTAATTTCGTTGTCTTACTTGTTCTGCCTGCTAAAACAAATACTCCTAAATCAAATTAAGTCACAATTTAAACTACAAGACTTTGTTGAGGGCAAATTATTCTCTAAGGCTTCTTTTCCTGCCCTTCCACTAGTTTCTACACCCTGGTTCGAGGCCTGGCGGCATGCATTTATCTCAGGTCTTGATACTAGTGAACACGAATTTCTGACCCGCTTTCTCGCCTGCATCTTTGTTGTCTCTACGAAGAACGCCGACGTGCTGCAGGCATTTGACACTCTGGTTCAACAGCACATTCAATTAACACAGAACCAACAGTCACGTTCTCCCCGATGGTTTAGCCAAGGCGTCGCCAAATTCTATGTCCTCCTCAATGACCTGAGTTGCACCAGGCAGAGCGAGTATGTCGTCTATAACGTTAACAATTTCGGTAGATGCTTGGATAATAATCTCCTAATACCAAAGTAATACTCTTAAAATACTGTAGGCTGCTTACGTTTTTAAGGAATGTTCGGACATTCAGGCTCCTGCAATTTGTCGCTACGATTCTCAGCTTCTCTATGTGCGTTTGAGAAAGACTGTCTGATATCTGGCCGAAGGCTTTCTTCGACATTCTGGAGTCTTTCGACCTGTATTTGGAACTGAAGAGATACAGAAGTCTAGGTGATCTGATTACATTGACCTGCCACCTATAAATCTCTGGTCTGATCTACCTGTGTTAAATTAGATAGAATAGGCAGCTTACGAATGATATGGATTCATGGTGTGTTGAAAGCTTGTGCCTGTGTGTGTCCGTGACCTGCATGGAATTGAATTGGCCCTTTAGAATTAATTAAATGTCGGAAACGAGCGCCAAACAGTCCACTATCAGTGTTGAGGCGGCCTATCCGGCTGCTAAAATCGTCAGCTTGAGCAATCATATCGGAGTTTCCAGCATTTTTGAAAACGATCAAAGCCCATTGCTTTTTTGGGTGTTTTCATATCCGTCTAAAGTAAACAAAGAAATTGTAAAGCACCCAGGTTTCTATCGCAAGCTCTTAGTAACAGCGTAGGCCACTCTGGCTCCAACTCCCTGCGCTGGCAGGCTGTCGCATGGACTAAAATCAATCTGCTGACGCTCGTTTGAAACTCGGCCCGTACGCAGATGGTTGTAAATGCTCGGGTCAGGTCAACCAACGCCCCCACGCTTCAGTAAAGTAAGATAACTAACGGATCAACTAGCTCAGTTGCTAATTCTGCTACCTACTCCAAATAGTGTCGCTAACCCCAATATCCAACTGCAAGAATTTACTGGTCCATAAAGTCGACACCAAAAGTAATAGGTTACTTCTGTCGTTGTCGACTACTACCGACGCTGGAATTGCGGACTCAACCTACGTGCTCTACACTTGCTCTGTCGAGCCAAATTTCAACCTCTGATACTTTCCTAGCTATTTAGTTTTGGCTCTCTGTCTTAACAGATCCTGTTATCGGAATATGGTTTCTTTTAGAAGTGCTTTTTGTCTAAAGCCATTTTTCGCTCCTTTGTTGTTTTGCTCCCTATAATTTCAGTGCGGACATTATCTACCGAAAGGTAACCGATACATACGGCCCAGGCAATTGTCATTTGCTAAATCTTTCTTGCGATCGGAAAGGGACGGACATTATCGACCCTAACATACCAAACGGATCGATTGCTGCTGCAGCAACGGTGCCCCCCGACCCCTGGTTGGCGTATCTCCTGCCACACGGTTACAGTCCTCCAGCAAAGGCAGTCCTGGGGCAAAAACTTCAGGAAAACCCGAAACTGCAGCAGCAACAACCTCTAGTTTCTTCAACCCCCTCGGATCCTCTGGTCCAACTTGCACCACCGCCCCCACCGCTACCAGCGGTTGAAGGCAGACCTCTCAGTTCCATTAAAAGTGAGGGTGCCTTTGTCCACTTCTATCTATCTAGTTGATTCTTATGGTTACCCGAGTATGTTTTCACATCTTTTTAGCCCCGAAATTGCACTTATCTTTGGCAGAGGCTCCCAGATACCGACCGCCAAACATTTCACCCGTCTTTGAGTACGTGGGATGTATGGAATACTAAGGGCGTGGTAGACTGACAGTCTCGTTAAGTGCCAAGTATAAAAAATTGGCCAGCCCAATTCTGTATTGAGTGCAGCGGCCTCACTATCGTAATCATTTCGACTGGTAATCGCAAGTAAATGATGGTACCCGGTGCGTCTTTTTAACACCAGTGGATTAATAAAAAAAACCTGCTTCAGTTATGGGGAGGAGAGAGCCTGACCGGCCACGATGCCCGCACCCATACTCGCTCGTCTCGTCTTTGTTTTGCCACTGAAGCGTGGCGGGTAGTAGGAGTGAGTAAAGCCGGCGCAGCGCAAGTAATTTTTGCACACCTCGTCTGACAGTGGTACTCTTCGGCACGTTGGTTTCTGTTGCCCGAACTTCACTTGTCCGCTCTTTATGTCTAAGCAACCAGTTCTCTTTTAAAGAATGCATTTTTATGTTACACCATTTGGCATTTCTGTGCAGATCCTGATGGCTGACGGTAGTGGTCGTGTTTTGGGTCGGAGTATACATATTTTTTTCATTGCGGCCAACATACAGGGAGTCCCTTTCCGCCGGATTGTCTGCTGCATTTGCCTCTACTCAAATAGAGTTGAAGGCTCGAACCCCACACTGTGACAAGGATAGGGCGAGACCTACTTATGATGTTTAGTAGCTGTAAGACTGCTGTTTGATTGATCTATCACACTCCCAGTCCGGAC